AAATGGCGTCAAGCAGGGCTGTGTGCTCACACCTACCCTCTTCAGCATAGTATTCTCTGCCATGCTGTTGGATGCCTTCAATGATAATGACCTTGGTATGGGAATCAGGTACCATTTCAACAGAGACATCTTCAACCTGCACAGGCTCTGAGCTCACAGGCTGACATGCAATAGTCCATGGACCTATTCTGGTCAGGCTGCTACAACTTCAGACTCACTATCAACACAAAGAAGACCGCAGTGATGTTTCAACCTGTGCCTGGCACAACAACCCAGGAACTACATGTACCAGTTAAAGGCCAACAACTGTCGATGGTCAACAGTTTGCCTAGATATTAACTACTTCCACCTGTGCTGCCTGCGAAAGATACTAAAGATCAAGTGGCAGAACAAGATTCCAGACACTGAGGTGCTCAGAGGCTCAGCTCTCCCCAGTATCCACACCCTACTGAAACTGGTGCAGCTAAGATGGGCCGGCCACCTTTCAAGAATGCCCGACTCTCGCCTGCCAAAGAAAATCTTCTATGGTGAACTGTTAAATGGAGTACGCTTTTGTGGTGCACCAAAGAAGCGGTACAAGGACACCCTAAAGATGTCTCTAAAGAGTTTCAGCCGAGAGTCCTGGAAGCAAATCACTCATGACCATCCATCCTGGAGGTCATTGCTCCAGAGTGGAGCACTGGCCTTTGAGCAGCGATACATGGCAGAGACAGTGAGGAAACACGTGGTCAGGAAAATGAGGACCTCTCAGTCCTTGTCACTATACTGCCCCTGCTGCAGCAGATTGTTCAGGGCAAAGATTGGGCTTATAAATCACCTGTATACCCACGTGACCTAGCCTCCACCCCCCCCTCTTTCTTCTTTCTCCTTTTTCCTCTCTTTCTCCCCTTCTCTTTTCTCACTCCCTTTTTCTTTCCTGCTTCCTTTCTCAATGAGGGCATCTTTCCTTGTGAAGGATGAAACACTTATCAAAGCTTAATATCATAACAAGTCGGAAAACTGAGGCAAAAATTAATAAATTGAATTCCCTAGTCATCTGAAAGGAATGTAGCAGACAGCATTCCCTCTAAGCTGTGCTGCATGTGCGGCCCTGCAGGTGCGCCTGGCAGCGCAGCATGAGCGTGCCTCAACAGCCATGCATGCCACACAGCTTAGAGGGAATGATGGTGGCAGAGTTGGGAATGAAACCAGACCCATTGGTGCCTATACATAAGCAGTGAGCCCACTCCAACACACTGTAATTACAGTGCGTCGGAGCAGACTCAATTAATTGAGTCTGCTGGAGCATGGTAGTTACCATGCTCCAGCAGCCTCCAGCATCTCATGTATCAGCATCCCTGTGCTTAAAAATGGTGATGGCAGAGATGCTTTATCTAAAGCTCATTCAACAAGCTTCATATAAGCCACCCCCACTGCCATTTTGATGAGATGCTGATACTCAAGACACTCCAGGAGCTCTAATTAGAACATCTGTCAGAGCCACTTTAATTAAAGCACCTCCCCCTCCCCGCCAGGAGCACATGAATAAATACCCTCTTTGGAGTCCAAGGACAATGTTCTGCCCAGTAATCAGACCTTAAGATGTGTCAACTGAGTTCCCAAAGACTGAGGCACTGGAAAAGCCCTAGTCCCTTTTGGAAATGTAGGCATTAGTTGGGGTAACAAACGATGACAACAACTGTACTCTGGCGTGCAATCTGTCAGGACCAGCTGAATTGAAGGTGTCCAGCCTCTCAAGGTGTTCCTTTACAAGGTCTACATAGATGTTGGGTATACATTCACCCTCACCCTGGCTGTTCCACATCATGTTAGGCAGAACAATCCCTTTAGGCTGGTGAACAGCCAATGCAAAGTACCCATTAAACAGGTTGTCTTTTTCCTGGATGTCAGTTGTCCCATTTGGTTTAGCAGGGGTCCAATGTTACCCATGCTTTTCTTCCAACTCCCCACATATCTGAAAAAGGACTTTTTATTGTCCTTGATATGTGGAGCAAGTTGGAGCTCAGTTGCAGTCTTGGCTTTCCTGGTTCACTCCCTACAGGTATGGACCAGTGCAGAATACTTCTTTCTTAGGGGTGATTCCCATCTTCCATCCTTTATAAGCCTCTTTTTTTAGATGTAAGAGGTCTATGAGTTCCCTTTTAAGCCAAGGGGTTGCTTTGCTCTTTTACTACCTTTCCTCCAAGATGGGATGGACATCCCTTGAGTTTTCAGGATCACTCCCTTAAGGAGCAACCACTCATCTTGGACTCACTTCCCTGTCATGTCATGACCTCTTAGGGCCACAACAACAGGCCTCCTAAACTTATCAAAATCAGCTTTCCTAAAGTTGAGGACTTCTGCATTGCTGACTGACTTGCCAGGTTTGCGATGGATAGTAAAAGTGATCAGCTGAAGGTCACTGTCTCCCAGCTTTCCTTCAATTCTTAGGTTGCTGCTTGGATCATCCTCTTTGGCCAGTACCAGGTCCAGTAGCGCTTTGTTTCTTGTCAGTCCACAGACTTCGTGAGTCAGGTACAGTCCTTCCACACATGAGGAAGCTTTTTGACCATTTGGATTTGGTCAAGTGCTCTTCCTATGAGGTGTCCGGGTAGTTGACGACTCCCATGACAACCATGCACTGAGAGCGTGCAGCCTCAGCCAGTTCCCTGACAAATTCCCGGTCAAGCTCCTGTCCTGATTTGGAGGTCTGTAGTGGACTCTTACCATTGTGTCTCCTGTGTCATGTTCCCCATGTATTTCAACCCAGAGGGTCTCCAGTCGTCCTCCATGTATGCCAATGTCAGCTTTTGGGGATGTGTAGCTTTCCTTGACATAGACAGCTACACCCCCACCTCTTTTTCTCTGCACGAACTCTCATGTGCAGGGTAGAGCCATCTATACCTGTGGCCTAGTCATATGTGGAGTCCCACCAGGTCTCCGTTATCCCTGTGAGATTGTAGTCATTCTTTTTTAGCAGGAGGACAAGTTCCTCTTGTTTGTTCCCCAAGCTTCTGGCATTGGTGTACAGACATATAAGTATCCCATTGGAAGCCCTAGGCTTCCTTGTACTCCCACAAGGACACCGTTCCAGGGCTGAGGTAGAAATGGATGCCCTTGAGTGCCCTCACCTGCTAGTTTTGCAGTAGTTGCCTAGTGGGCTTGCTTTGGTGGTTGTCCACCCATCCCCTGGCAGGCTTAGTTTAAAGCCTGGTCAAGCAGGTCAGCTATTCTGGCTGAAAAGAGCTTGCTCCCCAGTGAGTTGAGGTGGAAAATGTCTCTTCCCAGGAGACCCCTGCCTCTTTCACCAAAGAGCAGCAGCCTGTAGTCATGGAAGCTAAAGCCATCATGATGACACCAGTGCTGCAGTCTTTGGTTGATTACCTCAATCCACACTATTAAACACAACACCAAACTCAGTTCATATAAAGTATAGAAGATCTATGCAATTTTTTCCAAAGTTACATGCAAATAATTATGATTCTTGAAATGTCTATAGGATAAGAAGCCAGTCTGCAAACCTCTGGGCCCCTAAAGGCATGTGGCACTCTGTATGCAATTATACAATGCACTATGCTTCTCAGGGGGGTCTTCTTCTAATTTGTTTCTAGTTCCACATGTATCTATTTCTCATCTTTTTTCTGTTATCTTTTCTGCGCTTTTGGTAACCTAATGCGGCGAATGAGTCTCTTCTTGCATTGCTTTATTTTAAAAAGGATTCTCAACTCTGTTCCTTATTATGATGTCTGCACTGCTGTCTATTAGGTGAGAAAACAAAATCACATATGAATTAAATGGAATTTCTTTGGAGGCTTTTTGGCTGTTGTGTTGGTGCACTCACACCTAAAATGTCTTTTTTTCACCCTCTTACTATCAACGCTGCTTGTATTTCATATATTTGATGGACTTTTCTATTTTGCCTGTTCCCCTTCAGGTGACTATCATCGGAAGTGTGTTTTTATGTGGTTTATGTCTATGATTTTCAATTTAGTCTAAATCTTTTCATTGATGTTATCACACTCACTCTTTTATCTCTCTTTTTCAATTTCCATGTATGTGAATGTGTTACTTGAAGGTGATCATATGGATTCTTCTGTTCTTCCATGAGGTGCCTTACATTTAGACGTTGATACTTAGCCTTTTGCACTTGCGGGCTTCAGTCTGCTGTTCAAATTTATTTTCTCTTTTATTCATCTAGTGAACAACAGCACATGAAACTTGGAGATGACCACCAAGAGTTGAAACTCCTAAAAGAAATGGCACCAAAGCTTGGACATTCTTGGGACGGAAGTCAAGATGTAGGGACTGATTGGAAGGGAAATGAATGAAGTTGGCTACAAAGTAAGTGCTGAAGTTCAGGGTAATTAAAACTATCACCAAGGGAAACAAAGGGAATTTGGCTGGCCTCAGGGAAGAAAGAAAAGGAGGCAACCAAAAGTTTGGATAAGTAACCATGGGTTCTGTGAGCTCATCTATCTATTGCTTTACGGGATTACTTTACATTATTATTTTATTATGATTTTTTGCTCATAAAAATGACCATTTAACTATTCTATTATTTTTAGATGTTCTGAAAATATTACTTTATGGACTAGATTGCATCTTTAGTCAGACATTCACATATGCTATTTCATTATGATTTTATATCTTTGGGAAAATGCTATGAAAATGAAATTGTTTTATTAATACTTTCTTGAAGTCATCATTTATATAAAATCCAAATTCTTTTATCAAATACAACTCCTGTCAAAGATAATCCCAAATAAATTGTTTCTATTGGGCTAATTTTTTTTTTACATTAAAAAATAAAACTGTTTAAAATGAAAAATAATACAAAGTTTTTTTAACTTTAAAAATAATTAAACAAATTAATCTTTAAATAGCTAGTTTTTTTTTTTAACCCACTCTTTCTCTCTGACATTTTGGAGGGAATTTTTTGTTTTTTGTTGTTAAAAATATTGATGAGATCTAAGAGGGAGACAATATTATTTAGTGAATAGAGGAAGATCTTTGGTGTCACCGCTCATAGAATCTATTATTGACTCTTCAACACACTGATCTGTGGTACAATTTAGTCAGCATTAGCCTTCTTTGTTTTAAGGCATGTAACACTACACATGACAACTGTGCAATTTGCAAACTTCTCACATGTTTCCGTATCTTATCCTTGGCCTCGTTAAGTTGCAGAAAAGATTTGTTCCTTTTGTATTGGTAGTAGCTGTTGTGGCCACTGGGGAATCTTTTATCTGGGGAGTCAGCCATGCACTTTTTCTTTCTTCTTCCTCTCCTCAGTCAAGGTACAGAATAAGCAGCCTAGAGTCAGAAGGCGGAACAGAAAGTAAAACGTAAGAGCACAAACTGAAGGCCTGATATTAGAGACAGTCTCTCTCCCTTCAAACAGCATTATACTCCTCAGGACAAGTCCCTCCCTCCTAATGCTACCATTAACCCCTTCACCTAACCATATCCTCACAAATCCCCTACAATACACAGCTGCCACCCTAGACATCCTTTCCTATGGAAGGATGGGTATATTGAAACCATAAGTGCAATTATGTATGCAAATAATTTGGAAGTACAAAATACATCTAATAAAAAATGGATATATACTAAACTAAGGTATGTAAGGTATTTTGTACTGTATATAGACAGGGTTTTTTTGTTTGTTTTTTTTTCAGAAGTTGATCTGAACACTGTCTTCTTTTGATCAAAATTAAGTGTGGACTAGGACATGATTGTGCTCTGAAATCATATGAGCTGGTTTCATGGCATTTTGTTTTAACATCTAAATGGTGTTGGAATAGCAACAAGACCAGTTGTTCACCTGAGATCTTCATCGTGGAACAAAATGTTTCAGGAAACCATGGCACCAGAATTGAGGTACAAGTCGTTTCTGGTTTTAGGCCCAACTTGGTCACATAAATATTAGATAACTTTTAGATAGAAGAATTCAGAATCACTCAGTATGAAAAGGAAACTGTATTCAGTGTTTCTGTTTTGTCTGATTTCAAATTATTTCTAACTGCATTAATGGCTTTTATTCTCTTCTACTTATACATCTAGCCCATTAGATGTCATATTTATGATAATCTCCCACTATTTCTGAAAGGGAACAGGTTTGTCTGAAATATTTACCAATGCTCTTTTCCAGAGATTACACTCCTTGTAAAAATACCTTGGCTGTCTTGATTAGTCATATGCTTATAAACATGAGGATTTCAGAATGTTTTATGTTCCATACCAATATACATAGATGTTACACAATTTTCTTTCCTATTTAGTTATTTATATTGCTTTCATCATCATATTATCTGAGCATCTGTTAGCTATCTGGTGTTTTTTATGCCAAGTTGCTTTTTGTCCTGGCCAGACTCTAAGATGTTTAATTCTATTCTGCATAATATACATTTTTTTTCTATCATTTTAACTGGACATAGTATTCTCTACTTCCTACACTACAGAACTATTATGCTTTGTTGTTTACTGCTAAACAGTTGCTACATTGCACCCCAGAGATAGATGCATTTCACTATTTATATAGTAGCAATCTACTTTGAAATAATTTATAAAAAGCACTGCGGAAAAGCAAGGTTTTATTTAGTTTTTTTTATTCCAAATTGGTGTAAAAACTAAAATTTTAACATTTGAATTCTAAGGAACATATACTTGGTTTTGGACAAACGTGTTGTATAGATCTGTATATTCG